TCTCTCTCTCTCTCTCTCTCTCTCTCTCTCTGTGTGTCTCTGTATGTCTCTCTCTCTATATCTCTCTGTCTCTCTCTATGTGTGTCTCTCTATGTGTGTGTCTCTCTATGTGTGTCTCTCTCTGTGTCTGTGTCTCTCTCTGTGTGTCTGTGTCTCTCTCTGTGTCTCTATATCTGTCTGTGTCCCTCTCTGTCTGTCTCTCTGTCAGTGTCTCTCTCTCTGTGTGTCTCTCTCTGTCTCTCAACTTCATATGTCATTTGTCAGTGGCGCCCTCTGCCTTTAAACGCGCTGTTGCCAAAACCATAATCATTCAATGTTAAACAGCTGTTCTGGCCTGGCCCAACTGTTACTTCATCGTTGTTTTTAATATTTTGTGGTAGTGTAGTGTTTCTTACTTTTTCAGTCGTCTGCAGTATTGTTTCTATTTTAGTCTTGTAGTATTGAAATAAGGTAAGTTACTAATTAATTTATTTACATAGTTTATGTTACGATTTTGCTTACCTCATTTGTCCACTGAAGTGCAAATGTGTAGTGGCCTTTTTGGTTCTACATATTTTTCACCATTTATCCACAAAGTTTTACGTGCTTATAACCATTACAATATTTAAGTACTTTGAAACAATATTTGTAGACCAGGCGGGATCTATTTTGGTGTAGATGTTTTATATATTATCGCTAATTTTTGCTTTAATGGCTCCAAAATGATATAACAAAACATAATTTTACTATGCGCGCGCTTCAAAACATGTGCTAAACTTATTACATTTTTATTGAATATAAATTAATTTTAAGTGTTTATATATTTTTTAAAAAATTAAACAATAAGTTAAGCAGTTAATGATTTCATTTTATTTTATATACTTATAAAAAGTTTTATAAAGTTAAGAAATTCTATATAAATTAAAAAGTAATAATTATCAATACGTTAATAGGTCGATAATTAACAATAATTCGCATTTGAAAATGGGACCACTAGAAGCCAAGATAATCAAAATGTTTAAGCGCGCCGCTATTTTGAACGAGCGATTTCAATTTCGAGTCGGCCAGAGTAGCCGAGCTCTCGACCCCCCCACCACTCCCTCCCATACATTTTTCGTGAATTTCATGGATCCAATAGTTTTAAGTTTTAATTGACATTGTATATGGGTTGCACAAGGGCGAAAGTTCACTCCCGGAAAGTACTCGGAATGACAAAGGTATTTGTTTAAAAAGCAGCCCTCCAGACCTCGTAGTTACGCCACAAATGCCGGACAACTTTGATCGACTATAACTATGGAACCAATTAACGAACCACGTTTTTTTTTAAAGAAGCGTCTTTCCGAGTAGTTTAAAAGCATAATTAAAAAAAAAATAATTATAATGAATTTATAAAGTTATTCTATTTGTTTATAAGCGCAAAAATTACCCATATTTTTAAACAATTACCACGGCTCTCTTAATTAACGGATTTCAATTTTTTTGGACGCATTTTAAAGTTTGAGTGGGCTTTTTTATGTGATAAAATTTTCAAGTATCTAGAAGTCTTAATTTAGGCTCAGTTAAATTTGCAATAATTTCAATTTTTTTTCAAAAATCTGGATTACAAAAATATTACTCAAAAACTATCGTACCAATTTTAACGAAAATTGGTGTGATGTTTTATTATATCAAAAACATTTTTTTGGCCAAGTATGAAGATCCTACCTGTAATATAACTAAGTACTTTTAAAAAAGTCGCAAAAATATTGTAATTTTTTTCACTTTTTTTGTTTTTGCTGTATGTATTTGCAATAATTATGTTGTATTTTGTTTATTTGAAAATAGTTATAATCATGTGTATAAGTTAATTACGAGTCTTTTTTTCCTCTTCAATTTTTCTCTAAAATGAATAGTTTTTGAACTGTGTTGAAAAAAAGAGAAAAAAAATGGAATGTTTTCCAATTTTTTCACTATTTGTTTTATAATAAGTTTAGCACATGTTTTGAAGTGCGCGCATAGTGAAATTATGTTTTGTTGTATCATTTTGGAGCCATTAAAGCAAAAATTAGCGATACTATGTAAAACATCTACACCAAAACAGATCCCGCCTGGTCTACATTTTTTTGCAGTAAATTAATAAATAAACCTACCTTAACCTATTATATCATTAACACTTAAATTTTCATTTTCAAAATATAACCTTTAATTTTCACAAGCTGCTACTGGTTCAGTGACAAAATTGTCGCTTGTTTTTTTTTTAATTTTACAATTGCCTAAAAACTATCTGAATGCCACAAAACAACTTCAAAGTTGAATACACACTTGCAATATGTTTCATACACAAAAAATACTGTTTAAATTTTTGTTCTGACATTTTCTTTTTCTATTCAGAAAGCATTGGTTACAGCTAAACAGATGCTGGAACTATGGAAAAGTTTGTATGAAGGGCAGACAATTTCTGATATGCCAGAATGTGATAGAAAAAGTGACACGAGATCTGTCTTCCAGCTTTACACATCAGAAATGTCAGATAAAGACTCAAGTTAGTATTTTGCAAATTCCACAAAAATTTTCAATTTATTGGAAAAAAGGCTCACAACTCGTACAATTCAATTTTATTTTTAGGTTCCTTACAGTTGCACAATACGGCAGCTTCTAGGGTGGAACAAGCTTTGAGCGAAGTGGCCAGTTCTATGAGTAGCTTTAGTCCGCGTCCTGGTCCTCAAAGGGCCTGGATGTTGCAAGTTGAAATTTGGCTGTTACTTGCCGAACTGTACTTAGCACTAGATCAGCCAGCCGATGTGCAAATGTGCATTCAAGAAGCGACACAAATTTACCCATTAAGTCACCACATCATGCACATGGTATGTTATCTAGTGAAANAATTTTAACCCTCTTAATGAATATGAAATTCTTTTGAGTCGATACAATATAATTTTCTGAGATCACAAAAATAAAGTGTTAATATATTCCTTGTGAGGAGGGTAGTGAATTACACAGCCACACAAAAAAAAGATCCGTGATCAGCGACCCCGAAAAATGGATTATTTTTTGAAAATCTGGTCGGCCATCTTGGATCCGCCATTTTGAATTTTGCAAAATTGACCTTGTATCCGTGATCAGCGACCCAGGAAACCCCCGTATACCAAATTTGGTGCGAATCTTATTTTTTGAAAATTCGTGAATTCTGACCTTAATTGACCCGTTTTTTTGAGGTTAAAAAAAGAATCATCAGTTCTGACCGCGGATTCATGTTCGGTGGTGTCTTAACCATATAAATGAACATTTGAATATAGAAAAAAAATATATATATTTTTTTCCTAGCACTATTCCCTGAATTTTTGCTATTTTGGACCTGTTTTTTGAGGTTAGGAAGTTCCTATGATGATTGTGATAGCTCAATGCTGATACCAGATTCGTGATCAGGAGGCAAAAATACTACAAATAACATATGTCGCATGAAAAGTACAGACAACTTTTTTTTTGTGTGGCTGTGTTATCTAATCCTACTATAATCTAATATTGATCTAATATAATCTAAAACCATTTTGCATTTTTCTCTTATTTAATTCAGTATATTATTTGCACCCTAACATTTTTTCTCAATTTTTTGTTTTTAAATTGCCATAAACCTTTTAGATGTTCACGTTGTAAGTTATCTTATCTTGTAAGTGAATTTGGTACGATGGATATTTTATTGCAGTAAATTAATAAAACAACTTCAAATTTGAATACACACTGGCAGCATGTTTCATACACAAAAAAATACTGTTTAAATTTTTGTTCTGACATTTTCTTTTTCTATTCAGAAAGCATTGGTTACAGCTAAACAAATGCTAGAACTATGGAAAAGTTTGTATGAAGGGCAGACAATTTCTGATATGCCAGAATGTGATAGAAAAAGTGACACGAGATCCGTCTTCCAGCTTTACACATCAGAAATGTCAGATAAAGACTCAAGTTAGTATTTTGCAAAGAAGGTTCACAACTCGTACAATTCAATTTTATTTTTAGGTTCCTTACAGTTGCACAATACGGCAGCTTCTAGGGTGGAACAAGCTTTGAGCGAAGTGGCCAGTTCTATGAGTAGCTTTAGTCCGCGTCCTGGTCCTCAAAGGGCCTGGATGTTGCAAGTTGAAATTTGGCTGTTACTTGCCGAACTGTACTTAGCACTAGATCAGCCAGCCGATGTGCAAATGTGCATTCAAGAAGCGACACAAATTTACCCATTAAGTCACCACATCATGCACATGGTATGTTATCTAGTAAAATAAATAATGTAAATGTCTTTAAAAGTTTTGATAGGAACAGGCTCAGAACTGAAAACGGAATGAGCAAATAGGAAACTGCAAGCAGAAATCTTTATCTGGCATTATGTTATAAATATTTCACTTAAATTCCATCTCGGTAAATTACTGCCCCAAGGGTAGCATTTATCTCAGTAGTGAACATAAACATTAAAGTATCTTGTTTTCCATGGCAATACTGATAAAATCAGTAACATACTTGATTGAACCAGTGTTTTTCTTGATACATATCATTTTATGTCTTTTGAACGAGAAGAGATGTCACAAAACTTTTTTTAATGAGAGTTGTTGAGTAAAATTGAAACTTTCATATGATGTAAAAAATATTTGTGAAATTTGGAAAAATAAATTGATGATGTCACAACCCTTATGAGGATAAACTTATCAAGATGGAACACTTATATCATCATGCCATAAACAAAGACCAACCATTAATTCTGGATCACACTGTACATACTTATAATGCTTTCAATTCGTGTGTTTTGCATATTATGGTGTTTTTTCTTAAATTAATATGTTCATTGTAGAAATCGGATCCATTATCACTACGAAAACTAAATATACAGAAAAGTTTCAGTTGACAAAGTAGTGTAGAATTTAATATTCCAGAATTTCTATTCATTTGGATTTTGTTCAGAAAATTCATTTTTTTAGTGTCACCTAATAGGGTAGTTTCCTTCATTCAACAAGAAAATTTAAATATTCATTTTTTAAAAATATGTATTTCTTAATGTTTCTGGTGGAAATAGTTCATTTAAATAATTATTTTTTTTAATTTGAATTTTATTTTACGTATACAGAGTGTAAGAAGTATGGCTGCCATAACTTCAGCATGAGAGTAATCATAAATGAACAAAAAACTTGTATATTATAGAGGCGTAAGATTAACAGTTTTCAAAATACAGCGAGTATTAATATTGGGGAGTTTCATCACAATGTGGCAACAGCGCTACACAGCTGATGCACACCACGTGTGCACGCGGCAGACTTGTCCTGCAGAAAAAATTTAAACAACTATTATTGTGAAACATTTAGTATATTTCAAGACAATTGTTTTCCAGTTTTTAAATAAATAAAATAAAATGTATCGATTTTGTAGTATGAAGATAGTGTTGTGCTTAAATTTTGGATCGAATTTTAGTAATTATGAATCTCTTATAATAAGAACTTGACTTTTAATCAAATTACGTATTTGAAAAATATGTATTTAAAGTGCCCAAAGTTTCACGGCGTCCAAATAATTATACGTATTCAAAATAATTTAGGGACTTACTAAAAAGCAAAATTCAGTAATTTTTAAACACACAAGTACAAAACAAACTACAACAAATGCTCAAAATGTCCACAACCATTTTTGACACACGCAGGACACCTTCGAATCCAATTTTCGCGCACTCGCTGGAAAACACCTCAAGAAAAAGAAATAGTGGTACGCAAAAAACACTCCAACACAGTCCAATTCCAGATACCAACACCAACTGAATTGTGTATTGCTGATCAGCTTAGTATCTCGTGTTACACGTCGCATCATTGTCACATTGCTCGATACGAATTTTATCGAATTTTAAATTTATTAGGCTAATTATTTTTTAGAATTTAAGCATAAAGAAATTAAAAAAAGTGATAAACATTGTATTTTATAGTATAGTTATATCAATATTCCGTAATTAATCTTGTTTATTTTAATGTATTCTATTATGTGTTAAAATTAAGGCAGACAATCTTCTAACACCCTGTATACCGCTAAGTTAAAAATTAAGAAAATCAATAAATACCTATTGGCACACTGTTGGGGTGGCATAACTGTTAGTGATTTCTGCATTAAATATATAGAACAAGATGGTCCGTGTAATTGTCAACATTGCCAACAGTTTTAGGAGAAGTTAGGCCATCCATGGTTAGGGGGTAGCAGGAGATACCTACACCATCAGGTCTACGAAGAGGTGCCCCAAAAAGAGGCAATATATTACTTACCATTAAACAATAATATAAATTCATCTTATTTTGTGGTACGTAATAGTATAATGGACTACCTTTTAATATTGGAGAAGTAGAAGCATAGACACTAGCAAAATTATAATTTTTTGGCAAAAGTATATTTTTTTTCTGTAGCAAGTGCCAAAGTGTGCCTTATACCACTTAAAATAACAGATCAAGTATCATTTTAACTGCAGAGGAAGATAAAGTAATAGTTTAGGAGCAAGGATAAAGAATCCAAAAGTTTTGGAAGTGATCTTGTTGAATCGCATGCAGATTTTTTTCCTGACGCGTTTGTTCTGAACGTTATCCAATTTTATATAAATTCAGTTTCACCTGTAACTAATATTTAAGGTATGAATTGGGAATTTTGAACAACCATCAACAAAACCTAACCTGTAACTGATAATTCGCCGGTACTAATGCTTGGGCAAGCTGTAGATGATAGGGATACACGTGAACTTTGTGTAATATGCACCACTTTTTTGATTGGGACAATCCAGGCACATGTTGAATTATTTGCCTTGTACTTCGAAATATCCTTTCACAAAAATTAAAAGTTTGTTCCTCGGGTACCGCATTATGATGTGTACGTCTGCGACCTTCATCTCTCACCATTTCGTAACAAGTTTCTTTTTTCAGTCCTTTGTTGAACCACCATGATAAAGGTAGCGGTATTTAGCACATGTCTACTCATAAAGCTATAGGCATAGGCCATTTGGTACACTTCTAAAACTGAGGTAAACAATAAACCACTGTAATAAGAGCACTATAAAAACCACAGTAATACCGAATAAATAGGCATTTGTCAAATTAAATCAGCAGACACTATCTTAAGGGGTGCATGCAGAGACTTAAGATACTTTGCTATAGTCATCCAATTACGTAGCGGTTTTATTATATTAATATATTTTTAATATTCATATATGGTTGACGTCCCTTCTTATTTTACATCTGATGCAGGTGATTCTCTGATAAAAGATAGGATATAAAGTTTATATGGATATTTGTTTTATTTTTTGAGATACAGGGTGATAAAGTAATTATTTTTCTTAGTTATTTGTTTTACACGTTTTGAAGTAGATTATTTGGTACTAATAGTCCTATTCATTTGTCAGTTAGTTTACCAAACCTGAAACCATCTTATTACAGTTAAAGTTAGCCAAAATAAGTACTACATAAAAAAGTAAGTCAAATTTTGATTAAGGAGGTTCGATAGATCTCTTGTGGGGCAGTCGGTGCGGGAGGGAAGCTTATGCTTATACACTGGAGTTTCGTTGTAGTACCAACTTTACATAAACTAATTTGAGCGAACTAAATATAATACATGCCAATGAAATTTATGCAACACATATTAGCTCGCATATATTTTTCGTGTTTAATGCACGAAAATTAACTTTTCATATGAATAAAAGTGTCTATTTATTCATTAAGAGTTTGTAAAACTATGGGTGAAATCTGGCAACATTGCACATTGGTATGGCGTGACAGTAAAAGTTGTGCTTAGCGCATATACCGTAAACATGAATGAACATCCAAAGTACAAAGAAAAAGAAATAACTGAAAAGCAATATAAAATGTGTATGAAAAAGAATGTGGATTGATGAGAAAAAAGTAAAATGTGCAAACCGAGAATCCATGTAATAACTATCAAGAAGCGTGGTGTATGATAGTGAAACATTGCCTTGTCAAATTGAAGATTATGACAGAACAGCTATACTGTTCGTTTTGCAATTTTTGTTTTAAATTGCTATTATATTGATTAGATCACGAAAAATTTATTTAATATTAATTATTACTACATAAATTTTCGACTGGAATAATTTTATAGTCTATAATCGAGCTATTCAAATATAGCGCGTCAGTCGAAGCGTTAAATACAGTGTACAGCATTGCCATATTTCCTTTCATTGGATCAGATGTTTGTTCAAATTTGTCGAAATGTTATCTATTTATTTATTATCTCAATAATTACATTGTAAGTGCATATCTTTATTGTTTTAAATTTTTAAAATGTTAAGTAATATTTAATTCTTTAATTACAATTATATGTTCCCGATCATAACCATTTTTAAGAGGAATATTTACGTTTGATTAAATTTTTTTTCCAACTCCCATAAGAGCCTCTGTATAAGAGCATAATTTTTAATATCATTTTTCAAAGAAACTACGTTAGCAATCGATTTGATTTTTTTACACGAGGCAGTTTGCATATTTATTAACAGATTTCAATTGCTTTGAAAACTTTCTTACCATTTTTTTTTCGGTATCGAACCTCCTTAAATAAGAAACAAATCAAAAAATTCAGGGATAAAATGAAGATATTAAAAGAAAGTGTTGAAACTACTGAATGTGATAGAATTATTTTAAAAAACTAAAGACTAAGTGAGAATAATAAAAAAATGTGAATATTGTTATCATGTATCTCAAAAATTAAGTCTTATTTTTTGACCAGAGGAATTTTCTCAATGGAATATTACAACATCCTGCACCGATGACCTAATATTATTAGTGGCTTCCCTTGCAGAAAGGATTGTATCACATGCATAAAGAAGAATGGCCAGAAGCAAAACTGTGCTTTCAAAACGCAGTGGCTATAAATCCCCAACATGTCAAGTCTTTACAACAATTGGGTTTGGTTTATCACTATCTAGGGCTTCAGGGTTTAGCGGAAACTACGTTAAGGGAAGCAGCCAAGATCGAACCGAAAAATCACATTACTTGGTAAGTGTAAATTTATAATATGTTTGTCAGTCAAATGGTAATTTTTTGTGTTTACATAACTACTCATATAAGATTTATAATAAAACAACATTGTTTTTTGTACTGCTTTAGGTATAATCTGGGTAAAGTATTGGAAGCTCTAAAGGAATATGAAAAAGCCAGCAATGCTATGGCTACTGCCTTAATGGAAGAGAAAAATAATCCCATTCTTCCATTTAATTCAGTTCCTTTATGTTTCGAATAAATGGTACTTGGTAATCTATGGTAGTTAATGTTATTTTGTTGATTTATTGAGTCTCTAGGTGTTGTGTATATATGAATCTATCTTGTGTTTCGTTGATCACTTATAGGTGTCTGTTAGTATGTTATATATGCCTAACTTTACTGTATTTTTTTACTTATTTAACTAACATTCCATAAAACATTTATATTAAATACATAAAATAATAAAAATAGTCTATATAGGGGCACATTTATTATTTACACAACCAATACTGAGTGCCCTATAATTAGCCTGCTAAACTTTACTACTAAATTGACTAAATTGTATATAAGAGAAAATATTCTCTTAAAATGCCCGAAATTGCTTCTTAAACGATCTACAGTCCCTCGAAAGTTTTTGTTCAATATTTCTGAAACTTGTACTTATTCGTACAATCGCATTTATCATATTTATTCATAAATGAAACCTTAGAAATTCATTTATTTTATTCTCGACAAGATAGGTAGAGAATTTACAATTTGATTTGTAAACAGGTTAGAACCAATGGAGTGGAGATAAAAACTATCGCAATTGATTTATGACAAACTTTTTTAGTTTCACACAAAATTTAAAAGTTATACCTGTTTTACATTGCAAATTTCTTCATGAATTTATACATGGAGTCGTTTCATGAAGCTGGACAAGTGTCAACAAATAAAGTCAAATAACTTAACGCTACCATGGTGATCTACCTGCCTATTTGCCTACCTATTTGCCAAAAATATGGATCTAATTGTCATTATTAACAAATTAAACTAGTGATCCTCTTTACCCCTCAAAATGCAGTTTTTTAACAAATCGTGATATATCTCAGTAACAACCTAACCTTAAATAAATCATGCTTAGGTACATATTGAATATCCACAAATGTTATATATCATAACCCCAAAATTTTTCCCCCAACTGTTCAATAATTTATTACGAAATACTCACTATGCTGGAAAACGCTTAATCTCACCTTTCAGTCTTGCAAACCATACTAATTTAACAAAACAAGGCAAAGTTTTAACGCCTCCAAAATATGTCGGTTACGATCAGCGTGACCCGAAACAACAAAATGTGCTGATTCACTTCATTTATGATTCACTTTACCCCGTTTGACAGTATTTACTTCAGCACCTATTAATAAAGAGTGATACATGAATTGGTAAAATACGATTACAAATTTTAATCCATGTTATCTAATTAAAGAAATAACTAATCTCAACGTCACAGCTTAATACAGCTGGAAGAGTCCGTGTCAGCGCCTTTGATGTGGCGGTCGAGAACCAAGCGAGACGAAATCGTGCTAACTCTCTCAGATTAAGTGGAATTGTCGGGGCTGGATTAAAATAATTTTTATTATTGAAATAAAATATTTAGTTTCTACCTGACAGTACCGTAGTAGGTAATTTTAATAATATGAAATTTGAATTAGAATATTATGTGGTATGACATTAAAAGTAGAAAATAGGTGTTTTAGATAGGTTTTGTACTTGGAGTTAATACGGATTATTAAAAGAAAACTAGAAGAGTAATTAAAATTCCTTGTTGTAAGTTCGTGTTTACTGACGTAATCCTTAGAGAAGAAAATGGTTAAAATCACGTTTTTTTCAAACAAAAAATCGTTAATATCTCGAAAACGGTAGATTTTAGAGAAAAGTTGCATATGAACATATTTGTTGATATAAAAACTATTAGCATGTAAATTATCTTAATACATATATTTTTTTTTAAGTTTTACTATTATTTCTGATATCCTCTATTTTTGGGGATGATTCCACCCCCTGAGCGCTCTTAAGGGTGGATTTTCTAATTCAACATGCTTATTTCAGTCATGAGAATAAATCTTTCTTTGTATCAAGAATCATTTGATAGAAAAATTCACATGCCAATAGTTTTTATATTTATTGGTTATATTCAATTCTTCATTTTGGGCGTCTTTTCAACCGCTAAATAGGGGTGATTTTTGAAAATTTTCAAAAAACTAAAAGCTATGCTCATCTTAATTTTTTACGAGTAATTTGAGACCAAAAACATATTTTTATCTATTTTCTTTAGTTCTTTACAAATTGTGAAAAAACGGGCGATTTTTGTGGTCACTCTTTCTGCATCTTCCATAGGAAACATTTTCAGACCTACGTTTGTTAGAATATTTTTCTTATTTTTGAATTTCGAATCCAGCGATGAAATTTGGTAGGATAATTATGGGATACACTTTAGAGAATAGCTAAATCACTCCACTGTCGATACTTTGCAATGTTGGTTTTGAATCAGATTAAGTGATTGATTTAGCTTCTAGTGTGTGTGTGCGTGCAATCACTGTTTGCCATGAAATTGGGAGAACTAGCATTCAGGAATGTAGTGAGAAGTCACGATTCCTAATACACCAAGAACCATACACAATCTAAAATTACTATAAGATCTATTATTAAGAAATGGGTTGAAGTTCAACTGTGTGCATAAATTTTATGAAAAATAAAAATAGTGTAATAATTTACATTATTTAAAGATCTAAGTTATGTTTTTTTTATTCTTATTTATTTTACTTTAAAATTTGGTATAATCCGCCCTTTTCTGTAGAACAAGTGGATGCACAAATGACCATCTGAAATAATTTACAATTTATAATTTTTTAAAATTAAACTCCTAGTCCCTTTTATATTTTTTATTGTAACACTGATTCTGCTTTTGAGACCAAGGTTCAATTTCTCCGTTTATTGTTTTAATTTGTGATTTTTTTCTTGGATCTTATTGGATGGTATTCAGCAAGACAACGTGCCTAGTCACATTTTAATGTGATCTGCTGTTAGTTAGCTTCTAAGCGTTGAGTGAGGAAATAATATTCTCATTTATTGCTAAGTAATATTTCAAATTTATTAACCCAACCAGCTAATGAATAGGACCATTGGTACCAATTCATCTGTCAGGAAACATGTTAAGCAAATGAGAATAACTAAAAAAAAATAAAATTATTTTTGTTCAGGGAATCATCCCTATATGATTTTGTCTATAGTATATTACAACACCCTGTAATATATGAAATGTATGTATATCTAAGATTATTTTTTCTTAAAAAATGTTTTTTGTATGTAATAACAATGAGCACAACCATTGTAAGAAGTGTAGATTTTTGTTGGTCTTCCATTAATAACAAACTGGGATATTTATTACCGTAATACTGAATTTTTAGTATTGTAATATCTTAACAAGATTCAAAATCTTAAGTTAATCTGGTATAATACTATAAAATTATTTAATATTGTAATATAATTTATTAGATGTTATTTATTGTAAATAATAAATTAGTTAATAAAAGCTAAAACAATTTATTTTTCGCTCTTAATTTAAACATTAAGAAGTGTTAGTCTTTGAAGAGATTTTTCTGTGTTTAAAAATTTAAAATATAGGTACCTACTTATTTTCTGACCCGTATTCATCAATGTGGCATTGTCTAAAAGTTCTAAGAAATCGCAATGACAAACTATAGTAACTATTGCAGTGAATATAAATGAAACCAAATAATCGGTGTCTTGATTTTTAGGTATACTTAAAACTGTTTTTTATTAAACGGTCATAGAAACAATAACAACTTCTTCAAAATTGCAAATCCCAAGTCTGCTACGATTTTTTTTTTAGGTACCAATTTTTGTAAAATTGTATTAGCAACATTTTATCCAAAATCTAATATGACATTATTGTCCATCATTTAGTGTAGCCTACTAAATTAATTTAGAATAAATAAAATAATCTAATTGAAATAAATTAAGATGCGTCGGGGAAAGATGTAGATACCTACTTTTAAAGGACTCCGCACAAACCTTATGGGAAATTTGGCTGAATTTTTTATATGTTACGTATCTCGGCGTTCTGAACAAATGTCTTCATGGGTGTGACCACAATTCCATGGGTTCTGAATCCCACCTAACCTCTAGAAACTTACCAAACCACAAGCAGGCTAACCCGCGTAACCCCGGGAGCAGTGAGTTTAGTCGCTTATTTTTGTTTTAAATAATTAAATTCCGCCACAAGCGGGCTAACCCGCCTACCCCCTATCCCACCTAACCCCTAGAAACCACCCCTACCAAACCACAAGCAGGCTAACCCGCGTAACACTGGAAACAGCGCGTTTAATCGCTTATTTTTCTTCCTTTGTGTATAAAATTTAAAATAAAATTGTATATACTTCTATAGAAATTGGCATGAGAATACACAGTTCGGCTATTAAGTTTTAAGACTGATATTGTGGCAAAGTACGTGGTACTATCTCTGTGCAGTCAACGAAACTACGTTGTGGGACGCCTTCCATGCGATTGAACAACATTTCATCAGTATATGAATGTATACAGGGTCGGAAAATCCCCAAGGTTCATCGGCTGTTACGTGAGAGCGATAAAGTAAGTCATAGAAATAATAAGTGGATCTTATTTGTGGAAGGGCGAAATGGGCGGTGACTATTAGACGCCTTCATTATAGCCATCTTTCTCTATCGCACGGATTTCTATGACTTTCTTTATCGCTCTCACGTAACGGCCGATGAACTATGGGGACTTTCCGACCCTGTATCTGGCACCATGGGCGTAGCTACAAAGTCTGCTTGGGACGGGCCCAGGGCTACAAGTTCTACGGAGACCTCAAAAAAAAAAAAGACTTACCGATATGAATTTTGAACATACGTTTTGATTTGATTCTAAAAGTCGCCGACTTACCAATATGACAAAGCTGATAATAGTAGATCTTTTTTTGCCACAAAGTTATAATGTTCTGTTTGAAGCAATTTTTTGAGATGATACGTTTCCATAGCTGTTTTACCAGCTTTTAAAACAGAACTTGATTGCTGTATGCTGATCGATGTGCGTTTCCATGACAGCTATGAAAAATTCACTTCACGCAAAACATACATCAAAATGAATATTAATGTCCTATACGTAGATATAAAAATAAAGCATTTAGCTTTTGATATTGTGGCGAACGACTTATCAAGAGACCTACCTACATGTTCTTGGAGTTTTTTTAACAAAAAATGTATTTGAACTTTAATTGCTTTTTACTTATTATATTAGTAGCCAATCTTGGATATTATAATTTTTTTGTTTAATATTACTTAACCATTTTAGAAAGAAACTTTAAATAATTAATAGAGAACAAGAATATTTCAATTTTTATTCAAAAAATTTATAAAACATGTAACAATGTATACAGAGGTAATCCCTAAAGATACACATAAAGCACCACTTATACTTGGTAAATACTACATATATTCTTATTAAATACTAGTTTACAATAACATAAAATAAACACTTAACCTGATTTGTACATTTAAGCCTTAACTAGGTACGCCTGCTACAGAATTTCAGAGTTTCATCTACTTCAAAATTATTTTTGCTTATTTACATTTTTAATTGTATCAACACTTGAATTCTATAACGGCATATATATATATATATATGTATTTGTTCTTTTATTGGAAAGTATGGTTTTTAAATAACGCATTAATAGTTTTCAGATCAGTTAAATGATTTAGAATAATAATTTAATTTTTCAATTTGATGGTTCAAATTTTCCATTATTTACATTTGAAAAAATCTTGATCTGAGAAAATGATTTTGATTGAAAGTGCTGTAAATAAATTTCAGTAACATAAGTTCTATTACACGTTGGCAATTTAGTCACGCCTTTTGCAAAAACAATCGTAATAGAAACAATAAATCAACACCTAGTGTTGAGAATGGAAAGACAGCCGTGAATATTGAGCTCTTGCAAAAACAAGTACAACAGGAAAAATAACTGGACATTATACATTGAAAAGAACGAGAAGGCAGTTGTGAGTTGGGGACTAGTCTCGGGGACCCGCTGCTGCACTCTAAAGTGTGCTGCTGAATTGCCAGTGCATAAAGGCACAAGGAATATACATATAAATAACAACTGTGCTACTAAACGGCTGAAATCTGCTACTAAATTGTACGACTGAGAGAACCCTGATCCACTATTTTTCATTATATTCATATAGTCCAGGAATTACAAGATGAAAAATAGGATTAAATTGTATAAAATTTTGGAAACTTTGAGGTGCTCTTTTCAGAATTCAACATTGAGCATTTTTTTTGAAGATTTAGTTTTTTATGATTTTTATGATCATCTCTAGTGCAAGTAATGTAATGAATTAAAATATACAAAATATCTTACAATTTATGTATCTGAATCGTTTATGCGCAGCAGTGCTGGAAAGTTTACATCCTTGTGTACCGACGGGAAATATTCAACAATCCCTATTTTAATTTTTTATTTCACAAATTTTCTTTGAAATTTTCTCGTGTGACTGGAAATCATCCCCTAAAATATGATATGGGTCTCACACTTTATTATCAAAATATGATCACTTTAATTTTCATTAGCCGCCACTGGAAAAAGATACAAAAAAGATGTTCATCTCCCACCCGTGATCCAAAAATCTGTACCTTTAAATTAAAAAATTGTTCAGCTACACTGAGTTGGATACATATTGAAGCTTCTAGTTTTTAGTAGTGAAGTCCATTGTTGGACTGCTCATTTTTATTGTATTTTCAGTTTCAATGCTCTCTGTTTTAATATTTAAAAAAATATATATCAAAATTCCTCCATTGGTGGATCCTTTCTGGAAATATCAGAGAAGAAAATGTGTCTCTTACTCTTCCTTATAGTAGTTTGGAAATGAGTATACCTCAGTAGCACAAGATATGGTCCAACATCGTCATATAAATTAGATATTGAATTTAAGCCTAATATTTGGAAAATTTAGCCAATACTGGTATCATATTGGTAAAAGACACATAGTGAATGACCAAAAGTTACTGTAAGTGCAGAAGATAGTTTTATAATAACGAGATCCAAACAAAATCGCCGACTTAATACTTCAGACATCGCTCAAGAAACCCGGACGAAAAAAATGTTAATTTGCACTATTAAAAATTGTCTCTTATTTGCTGGTCTGTGTGGTGTGGCAGTAAAAAAAAACATTTTTGCCGCCAATCCATAAGCAAAAACGTTTAAAATGGGCACAACAACATGAACATTGAACGTTATAACATGGAAAGCAGTTCTATGGATGGACAAATCAAAATTTGAAATTTTTGGTTCCAATAGACGAGTATTTGTAGAGCTGCAGAGCCCACGAAAGAACGACTGAGAACACAGTGTCCTCACCGAAACATGGTGTTGCTAACATGTTAATTTGGGGCTGTTTTGCTGCAACAACTGTCGGAGATCTGGTTAAAATCGATGGTATTATGAAAAAGGAACATTATTTACAAATTTTGCAGAACCATGCTTTACCATCAGGTATAAGTATTATGGGAGAACCATTTGTGTTTCAACAAGAATATGTAAAGCCTTTTTAGAAGAAAGTAATAATATTGTGGAATTGATGGTGTGGCCCCACAATCATCCGAGCTGTCGCCGATTGAAAAATTGTGGGATGAATTGGGTCGAAAAGTCAAAGTACGTTTGCCACAGAGTACTACAATCTGCGGCAATATTTACAAGAGGCTTGGAATGATAAAGGAAGGTTACTTGAAAAAATTACTTTCAGACAATGTCCAGAATCTCCCAGGCTGTTATTAGAGCTAATGAGAAGTGGCCAGATCAATGAAAATAAATTATAAATTAATGGTATTGTTTAATAAATAATGATATGTTTTCATTTTGTAGTTTAAATGTTGTTTTACCTTATTCAATGAAGTATTTTGATGAATTACCATTCTGCTTTTAAATAGTTTCAGAACAAATTGAATATTCCCACTTACAAACTTTCTGACTGTAGTGTGTATAATTCATAACCAGTATTATGTCAAAATCTGTCGTTTACAATATCCTGCCATATTGGAAAATATTTTTCCAATATGTTTGTGCTGCTGGGGTATTTTTTGTCAGTGGATGTGTTGAAGTAAACTTTGTAGTGCTGACTTGTTTAAGGAGGTTTATCTGATTTGGAATTGACGAACAAATATTCATATAAAAATTAATATAAGCTTATTAATATGAAGAAAATCCTGAAAAAAAATTATGACTAGTTTGGATACCTAAGACACGAGATATTAATAAAATAATTTTTCACGATTTAGTACAGAGTCATGAGAATGCAGATTTTTTTGGTCTTTCCACTTAGAATGCGCAACAATTGACAAACAGTTTCCACAACAACTTGTATAAATAGGAAACCGATATCTAAGGAATAATACATAATTTATAATAATTCTCCTTCAAACTGCTGTCGTTCACTAATTTAACCTCTAAATGCGTGATAGCGGCAACGCCGCGGTTCTCGAAGTAGCATATTAATTGAAATTCGCAGGTGACATATGATGTATATTTCAAGTTTAGGCATCCAAACGAAGCCAGCCAAGTGCAACGTTGCCAAATCTAAAACCTTACCACTTTAGTCACTAACGAATCTACAGAAATTCTCGTTAGACTTTAGACGTACCTCCGTACCCGATAAACCTCCAACAATTCACAGCATAAATAAACAAGTGAACATAAATCATAGGAAATTCCTTTCATTCAGTATGTGGCTATAATTTATTTTTATTTTACTACCATTTTTGCAAAATGGCTACTCTTTGAAAAAAAATTTGAAATTTAAACTTGAAATGTGAAAAGATCGCCTTAAAATAATTTCCACCTAAAACTACCTAACTCCTGGACTAATATTTTTATTCCAAACTTTTTAATACATTAAAGCCAATGGACATTACATTCTACATTCTACAATATCACATTAAAAACCAACACAATTTTTAAATTATCACAGAACATCCAAAATCCGTACAATAGAAATATTACGCTCAGTGAAGCACCCAGTGGGAGAGCGAACGAATTGTTACAGAAAATCAGTTTTTCACTATTTTCATGAGGCATATATTTTGAAAAAACATTTCACTATTTTCTTGAGTATATAAATGCATTTAACATTTTTCTAGGTGCGCCACTGAATCCGTTACATAATCTTTGACATTTTATAGTTGATAAACTAAACTGGTAAACAGTTCTTTTTCTGTTTTTTTTTTAAAACATGTTTATAATTTCCGATTCGTAACTGTACAGGCATTTAATGTATTAATTTGTAGAATTTGCGTAAATCATACCTTCAACTAGACTGCTTCAATTTTTGTATGAAGACAATTCAGTACGCATGAAGTGGAACACTATATGTATTGCACAATTGCAAGTTTGTACGGTTTTACTAAATTAGTAACACATAACAAATTGTCCGTCAAGCTAAAAATATGGCTTATAACACTTAATAAGGATGAACCTCTTGTTAGCAAATATATTTTTCAACATCTACATTCCACATTACAATCGTCTACAAAAATAAAAATTATATCCTGTTTCTCACCTCAACCCTATAGACTGAAAAATGTATATTTAATAATCATTTTATTTGACTAGGCACAAAATTGAGCATATTTAAATTTGATCACAAATTTGAATTCATCGTTTAATCAATGGGACATCAGTTGGATGTGGTGTATTATCGGTACTGAAATTTAGAGGGTGGTCTTTAAGCAACGAAGGATCTAGAGGGATAGCAGGTGGCGTACTCTCTGCGAGTTTAACGGGTGAAGAAGTAAGTTCGAATTTATCATCAATTTTTAGCATGATACTTGCATGTTTTTGATTATTATTGTAGAACTTGTTCTGTCTAGAATGAGGTAGAGCATATTTTAATTTATTCCAGAACCAAGGATCGCCCCATTCAACATACGTATTGGTTTTAAGGTAACTTTTGAGTTCGTTGTCCAGGTGTTCTTCGTCTAATTTTCCATATTTTAGTACTATAACCCTTGCGCGACCGTCACTAATTGCTTGGGTATGGGCGGTTCTAAATTCCATTTTCCCCCAAACACTCTCGAGGAAATTGTCTGAAAGAACCACTAAGGTCCTTCTTGAATCCAAGACAGAATTAGTGACCTGCCTAGCTATAAACTCTCCCGGTATCCAATCTCTGATGTGAATGCAAACTTTAAATGGATTTGGTCCTTGTTCTAGTACGGGCAACAAATTCTGAACAACGAAATCTTCGTCCTTGTGGGAGTAACTTATGAATACGTCATACGTTTTGTCCTTATCGAGCTCCTCTTCAGTAACACACCACAGGCACAAATTTTTTGCGTACAGCCACACCTTGATTTGCTCTTGATAATAGAAGTACACGGCTACCACCGTAACTGCTGTCAACAGAATAACTAAAATAGGCACCGCAATAGCCATGGCAATTGCCAAATGGGACTTGCAGAGCTCTTTTCGGTTAATCAGTTGCTTATTATTATCCGCGCATATGACATCAGTGGCTTTAACCTGGGAACAAAAATTCATGTATAATATACGGAGTAAATCTGACAGCCTATATATACATATAATTTAAAATATTGACTAGAATTATTTATGATATTTTTATAGACGGTAAAAAAAACTGATTTTTTTTTCTTTATTTATTGTGTATTTTGCCTCCTGTGAAAAAATTTAAAAAATTAATAAAATAAACCCTTGCACCAAAAGGATCAGTCAAGGGTTATTTTTATAAAAATAATTTTGCCTGACAAAAAATCTCACACTGAAAAAAGCAGACAACTTTAAAAAGTTGTTAACGTTTCAAACCGTTAAGTTCAAAATTACTAAAGTTTTTCCTTTAAGATTTTTAAAAAGTTATTCAATTATCAATCAATTTTTTTATTTAGTTAGTAATAAAAATTTAACACATGAATCTACCTGCCTTCAATATTTCACATTTATTGAAAATTTTTGCAACAAAAAATGCATGCACACAAGAACAAAAAATAATATAACAACATTAAATAAATAATTAACGGTCTCTATTTCAGTTAAACCAAGTTCCTTTGTCTATGCATTTTTCAACCCTTTTATTATTTTTCTTGCCTAGTAATTTTTGTCTAATTCGAATCATATCCTCATATACTTTTTTAAATAGTTCTGCAGAAATGGAAATTATTATTCAGGTATTTTATGTTGTAATTTTATTTATTTATTTTGTTATGTATTAGTTACTTGATATGAATATTTTCAATAAGAAAATATTAGAAGCATACAGGTTTTTACACTAATATATTTTTTAATGACTAGATAAAAAAGTTTCCTTGATAATTTGACAACTTGATATAAAAGAAAAAGATTATTTAAGACATAGTTTTCATATTAAGAGGTTAAGACCAACGTATAATTTTCAGATTATTTTTTTTTATTGACTTAGAAGATGCTTTGAACCTTCAGAATAAGGGGAAAAATTTTACGCCTATACAATTTTTTTTTCTTTGAAATTCCGAGCTCTTTCCCAAGCGTTTTGCACTGCTCCAAAATGACTACCCGCGGCACATATATCCCTGCATAATACTACTAACAGATGTCGTTAGAAAAAGTTTGACTACAATTAGGAGCTTAATAACATCATTGAGTTTTATTATCCTTATACCTTTCCTACCATTAAAAAAAAATCACAAAAAGATTATTTATTTTAGCATCTGATAGTGGTGTTACCCAATAACAGTTACCTACGTTAAAATAAAAAAAACTAAATATTCAGATACCATTATCTTCAGTACTTTCAAAGATATTTTGTTCCAATTTGGTAAAGGTTAATTTCTAATGATACTAAATTAGGATATATGGTAATATTTTCGATTAAAAGATCACTAATATACAGGGTTTCACAACTTATCCAAAAAAAATTGAGAATAGAAGCGGCATGAGAAATGTACTAAATATCTTAAAAAAGAAATTTGTAAAATCTGTATAGTTTCCGAGAAAAAAATTATTGAAGTTGTAGTACATTCAACCATTACATAGCTGGACAACTGTAGTCTCTAGCATCATTAGCAATACGCGTGGAGAGCCACGTGGCCTCAGCAACTCCGAATACTGAAATCCGATTTTACAATCGTCGTTGCGTTAGTGTTTACCTGTTATCTGTGGTGTTTACAATAGTTTTTTAGTAGTTAGTGTCAAAAGTGGTTTGTGTGTATAGCAACTCGGAGTTGATGGATATCGTTTTAATTTATGGTGAAACAAGATAACATTTTGTATTGTGGTGAAGCATTTGTATTATGGCGAAACAAGACAACATTTGTGTTAGCTCGCAGAAACTGAGTAAGACGGGCCCAAATGTGTTTACACGTCGGTGGATAAAATTTTGTACAGTTGTAACAAACAAATTATTTTATTATTTAAAACCACTAATTAATTTCATTAATTAATAATAAAATAATAACAATAACGGCAGAATTTGCTGATATAAAATATGTGCTATAAAATTCTATTTATTTCTTTCCTTGCGAAAGTTTTTGTCAGTTTTTATCACACTTTGCCGCCATGCCGGTCACAATGTGTGAGGTCAGGTTTTACAGTGGACAAGTTTCCAGTGGCATGCAGAAATGTATTTTTAAGTCATTTTTGAACTACCCTTTTTGATTTTTTCTTTACAAAATTGCATTTGTAAGAGTCCCCTATACATCTACAATTTTTTTCTTTGGATAAGTTCTGAATCATCCTGTATGTGTTTTCATTTGCCGCTTTTTTTCATCTATGACTAAAATCAAATTTGGTTACATCAGAATAATTGTTATGAACTATGAAAATGAAACTGTAGAACTACTAAAGAAGAAAATGACAGTCTTCAAATTAATTTTTTGAAAGAGTGATGACACTCCACATTGAAGTTATCTCATGATGGCTAGGAATGGCTCAAACCAAAATCCTGTGAGAGAAACCTTTCCAACTGATGATGGAAGATTTTCAGATGGCAATTGTATTAAAAATGAACTCTAATTTTATTTTCATTGTAAAAAAATATATTAATTATTGCTCTTAATTGAGGTTAATGTGATGTGAACAAATACAAAATAATAAGGTAGTCTATAAACGTGGCATTTTTGGTCCTTAAAAGGTTCATTTTGAGGAGCGTGTACTAAAAAACATATTAACTTTTATTTTTCGTTACCTTTGTGAAATGGCTTCGTAAGTAGTTCTGAAGAGTAGTTGCTGAGCAACCGCAGCTCCATGGATTACCATAGAGGGTCAAATTTTGAATTGTTGTTGACTGATTCAAACTCTCTAATACATGTGAATCTAAAAATTGGAGCTGATTTCCATTTAGATGTAATATCTAAAAATAAATATAAAGGTCACTGATTGTCCAATAAATGATTATATATTTTACAATTTGCTTAATACTTCTTAAAAATAATGAAAATTAACATATCCTTTCTATACCTTCATAAACTTGTTAACAGTTGTGTGTTACAAATATTAAACTTACCTCTACATGCTGTGGAATCCAACTAACATTTTTAATCTTATTATTCGATAAATACAATTTAGTGACATTATCATATCCTAAACCTTTGTAGGGTGCAATTTCCATAGAATTTCCTTCTAAATTTACTTGAACTCTATTAAATTTTCGAAGGTTTATAAAAGGAGGATTTGTAAGATTTCTATAAGAACAATCTACCACTGCATGTTCATCAAATGGCCGTTTGACACACTCACATATTTTAGGGCATCCTTCATCATTTAATGCACAAGTAATGTGACGGGGTTTCAACTCTTTTATTGGTATGTGTTTGAAGGATTCGGGTGCGGCACAGTGAAGATTTCCTATTCTTATATCTATTAACGTCCTTATAACTGGATCCAGTTTATCATTATTGTACTGAATCAGATCGAAATTGGAACAGTCGCATGAGATAGGATTGTTCAATAAATATAGAACTGTACTGCCTGTGTTATTGTTATGAATTACATCTTCCCTTTTTTCATTAAAACGAGGATATATTTTAATTTCTTGAAAATCTAGGACTGATACGTTATTATTATTTATCAGTACCTTCACTTCATTTGAGGTTACTTTGATTAGAGAAGCCATCTGAAAATAAAATGAATATATTTTTATTTTTTTGTATTAGAAATGTAATGTTACTGGACATGTCCATTTGCTTCTGTTGCTACCACATTGACATTACATCATTACATATATTTTTTTATCTTAAAACAATCAAAGCAAATAGACTCATCCACATCAAAATTCTTATTTTCTCTAACAGCATATTTTTCATGTTAAAAAAAAATTAAAAAGCAAATTTATCAAAAATTACATTTTTTATGTAGGTCCCTATTGTGTTGCTCATTAAAAAGCGAAACAGATTTAAAATTTTTTTGAAATTCAAATAAGTTTTTTAGACAACCATTGTGTCATAAAAAATGTTGGTGTTGAAAAAATGGTCTTGTAGAATTCAGCTCAGATTGTTTCTCTCTTAGAAAAATAATAAAATTCAATCGGCCTACTTGATGTTTTATTTTTTCTCTAGCGAAGAAGCGTTTTGTATGAGATACAACAAAATTTATTAAGTTATAAGAAAAGTTTCCCAGAACGAAAAATTCTGTATGTCTTATGCCTACTTTGAGAAAAATCTAAATCAAGCAAAATGTCACAGTAGGTCTACGACTTTCTTAATAACCTTTTGTGGTATCGCATACAAAAAGAGCACTTTAACTAATGAGAAAATATATCAAATGAAATATAAAGTTTGCCTAAGATGTTGAAATTTGGTACAGTCAATCAGTTTTTCATTGTAAGAAACTTTTCTTAACGACATTTTGACATATTTGATACAGAAATGACACTTTGTTGTTAAGTAAAATCAGATTTTTCTAAATTTCCAACCAACATTTTTTGTGTCTTATGAGAGACATTTCACCTATCTGAGATGACGCTGTAAATATGCCTACTACTACTTTTTGAATCAATCAAAATACAGTTTGCAATCCATAGGAAATCCATGCAAATCACCGGAGGAATCTTTCATCAACTTAACTTTTCATCATCTGAAATTTTATCAATTTATAATGTGAAATATTTCTTATTTGAGCATAAAATTTTATATTTATTAAATTTCTGCTTCAAAGTTCTGCTTAAAATTATGAAAATGTCATAAACAGACTTTTAATTTACCAATTAATTATAATCAGTAGTGTCAATAATTAGCGAATATGTAGGCAAAAAAATCACAAAAGGAATGGATTATTACCAATTGGATCATAGTAATTAGGTCAACAGATACACCTACAGAGCCTTCATAAACGATTACAAGCCACATGAACGGTAATTTTCTTTGGAACAGTAGGTACCTAATTTTATTTCCTTCACGTTGGCAATTAAATTTCGGTAAAATTCAAAACAATAAGATCAAGATTACTTTAAAATATAACATTCTGTTTCATCAGCTGGTAGTGGTGCATTTTCACAATATTCTATTCAACCAATTAGCGATCACATTATCTCGAGCGTAGCGGTAACAGTTTATCACGAATCATTTGTAGAAAGATGCCATATATACAAAACATATTTATTTGAATTTCATATCCACAACTCTTTACAAACTTGTGTGTCTTGTTTTTTTATGGGCCACACTGTATATTAATTCATATCAATTAAATTAATTATTATTAATAACATTTTAACCATTAGGTTTTCTGTATATAAAATATTTAACTTTTTAAACTTACCCTAATAGAACTTATCTTATTGTTATCCAGATCCAAGAAAACCAAATGAGTTTTGCTGTCCATAATGTTTTCCGGAAATCTTTCAATTACGTTATGAGACACATTTAGTTTTTCCAACATTTCACAGTGAGTGAACGGATTTAGTCCCTCCGTTTGTTGGTGGTACAAATCATACAGGTTATGAGACAAATTCACTTCAACCAATTTTTTTAGTTGAATAAATGCACGTAAAGCTATTTTAGATATTTTGTTATAACTCAAATCAAGTTTAATTAAATTAGAAGTTTTTTCAAACACATTGTCAGTAATTTCTTCTAATTTATTTTCATGAAGATAGAATTCTTCTAAATGTATCAGAGACGAAAATATATTATCTGGTAAAATTTTAATTTTATTTCCATCCAAAAATAATTTTTTCAGTTTAGTCAAGTTCTCAAAAATAATTGCAGGTAATTCTGTGATACTGTTGTTTCTCAGAGAAATTTCGGTCAAATTAACGCATCCTTCGAAGACATGTTCCGGAAGAATTTCCAGATTTGAATTATCTATATTTATTTTCAAAAGATTCGTTAAATTCGCAAATACATAATCAGAGAGATTTAAATTTGGATTATTCCCCATACGAACTAACTCCAGGGCAGTGTTGTGTTTAAAAATGTTAGACGTCACGTCGTGCAAGTTGTTTGATCTCAAACTGATATTAACCAGTTCAACAAGTTCCGCGAAAGTGTCTTCATCCAGAGATGAAATATTATTACTGCTCAATTCAAGAGATTTTAACTGTTTCAATCCAACAAAAGATTTTTTATTCAGAGCGGTTAATTCATTTTTCCACAAATGCAATTGCTGCAGATCTGAAAGGTTCTCAAATAGTCCATCGGGTAAATGAGATATTAAATTTCTAGACAAATGAAGAACCCGTAGTTTTGGGACATTTTTAAAGATATTAGCTCCAATTTCTTTGATTTCATTATTATCTAAATAAAGAGCAGTTAAATTTGGAAGGTACTGCAAAAAGTCGTCATCAAATTTAATTCCATATATGTATCTAAACTCTAATGTTTGCAGGTCTTGAAGCCCATAGAATAGTTCCTTCGTCACAGTTTTCAGATTAGCATTGCCCACTTCTTCTAGTCGCATGTAATTAATCCTAGTGATATTAAATTTTTCCAAAGTAGTATTGAAACTGTCTGTTGGCAATGGGCAAAATCTCATTAGAAAATGTTCTAAACTTCCCACGTCCAAATTGGGAAACATGTCTAAATCATATTCAGTTTTGGTCTCATCGTAGCAGTCTATTTTCATAAATTTGCCTGGTACTGTATGTACAACAATTTGAAAATTTTGTGGTGATTTCGGACATTGATATTCTAATTCAGTAGACTTATAGCAATCACACATGTCGGATTGGACGCATGTCATATCCCCCTTGACTAACGTAAATAAAAAGAGAATCCATATTGTCAAAATTGCCACCCATGCATCCATGATACCTGTAACAAATAATATGTGATCAATAAATTTCATAAATATCTTCAATAAATTTATTATTGTAACTTCGACTAATTCTAATTCAAAACCTGAACCTAAAGTAATATTCCAGTTTCCAATTAAAAACTGCAATTGTTCAAGATGCTTTGAAGAAGTAAATTTCAAAATAATCATATCTTAAACGTAGCGGACTATACTATTACTATACCCACAAGGATACTACTAAATAAAGTGCAAAAAATTTAGGGGTGATCCTACTCTAAACATAATGGCATATACATAAACTCATACGACACTTTTCCGAAAACTCAAAATTAACGGACATAATCTCAGTTATTTTCTTTGATAAATATTTTGCCATAATTTTTTTTCAGATTGCCATATTTTCAAATTTAATAATAAAGTAGGTACTAAATTTTAAAAAGATAAAATCAAAATGTTAAATAAAAAATAATAATAATGGAAAGACTTTTTGCACTTTATTTGGGATCGCAGGGAAATACTAGAAGGTTAACTTTAACTAAGAATACATAAACAATTGAGAAACAGAGGCGCGCATTTTTTTCAAAATAATACATATATGTATTTTAAAAGAATATTAGAAAAATACAAAAAATTTAGTAGTTTATAAAAAAATAAATGTATTTTTTGACGATTCATACTTTATAAGTTTGGCTGTCAGAACTGAGCTGCGGAATATAGACGTACGCATTATTGATTAAAAAGCAACAAATTAAATTGTATATACAACACCACTATAAACACCAACGGATACTAATTAATTACGCAACTTCCGCATGATAATAAACAACAGTATACTAAAGTGACATGAACGTGAAAAGCATTCTAAGGCACCGGCTCACGCATGTCTGGGTTGACCCGCTTGGCACGCCATTGAATTGCGGCTCGCTCTGACAGCCTTATTTATAAGTTCTAATTATTGATTAACTTTCGTAAACACCTAATAAGTAGTAATAAAAATATTTCTCTCGAAGGTTCATAGAAATAATAGAAAAACAAAAATGCATATATAAATGCCGCGTTGTTCTCAACAATATGGAATTTCTGATAAATACACAAAACTGCGGTCAAATGAATTTAATAACTACAATAATAGTTTTCAGTTTTTCAGTTGAAAACATTTAATCCGTCATCGTTGAAACAAAAGGAATTATTCAATTATTGTTTAAAAAACAAAGCTATGGGTGGTCACAATTGACTAAACATCGTTATTAAATGCATTTTGGGTTACCTTTTGAACAGATACTGAGATACTTATTGCCCGTTGTTGGGAAAAACAGTCAATAAAATTCTTAAATTACGCACATATAAAAAATACAACTTCTCATCGAAAACACTACCTATCATTTCACTAGTCACTAAACTTTGACATCAAGAATTGTACTACTAATTGAGATTCAAGGGTTATGCAGACACTAAATTGAAATCGTACGATTTGTAAATATTAACAAAATGTCTACCTTAATGAAGCAAATTCCCAAATCAACTAATGCAATGAACGACAGGACCTAATGGACAGTTGTTGAATATTAGGGTAGGTAATTAATATGTCATTAAAAGAGAGCGATTAACCTACAAAAATAAAGAGATAAATAACCAGTTAGTTGTCTGTACTGGAAGCCATCTTTTGTGGTCATTTATAAAAAAGAAAAAATTGTTTGAATAAACAAAGACTAAAAAAATACAAGGTAATGAGGTTGTTGATACATATACTGGGTGGCCCAATGTGAACTTTGCGCAATATGAATAAGACCTAAATACATAAATTATGAAACACGTCATTTGGGACCGTTCCAGAAGCGTATCATTGTCATCGTAAAGGGGGTGGCCGCTTCCATAAAAATAGGGAGTTATAGATCAGTTTCTTGCCCCTAGTCATCTTTATAATGGCACCATATATGTTTACGTTTATCGGGAAAATATACAATGAATTAAGTAATGTCCAGTTAAGAAAACTCCGTTCTTGCACTCACATCATTTATATTAAGACATGTGGCACTTTTGGTACAACAATGGACAAAAAAAAAGTTTCCAAATTTAACCACTTACAATGCTTTACAAATTAGTAGGAAAAATGATCTTGGATGGGACGGGGCCGAGTGGGATTATCCCTCTTTATCCATGCACGATAGTGTTATTTTGAACCATTTTATATACCTAGATATTTCAGGACCACGTAAAAACAATTTTTATTACCTTATCTGTATGTATTTACAATATCAACAGTTTCAATATAACAATTTAACTGCTATTGCCAATTTCGTAGTATGTTGAAACAGAACATGATTGCATTACTGTTGCACGTTAATAAATTAATTTAAGAAATTATGTGCCTTCTAAATTATGACATCATCTTTCCCTGATATTTCATGCTCGCAATATTCAGCCATCTTTATCTATAACATCCTGCTAATAACGCTCATTTTAACTGTTTCTGCGTGTACGAGGTCTGTTCAAAAAATAACCGTACTATTTCGAGATATACAGTTGGCAGCATTCGTTGTGCATAACCCCCCCCCCCTGTTACCACATGTTTTTGGATTGTTGATATCTCATTTAGTTTTGAAATGTGCGTTGTTCTGGGACAACGATAGCAATGTACAATTTTGCATGAAACTTCACGGAAACTTTCAATTTTTGAAATGAGCTTACAGGGATAATGCTCTGGGTCGTATACAATGTTACGAATGGTTTTCACGACGACGTGGTCAATTGAAAATGAACCTCGTGTCAAATTTTGATTAAAAAATTGAACATGCATCGGGTTGCAGCAAAATTTGTTCCTCGTTTGATGACCTAACAACAGAGTTGTGGACGTTTGTCGGCAACTCCAATGACGATGAAACATTCATTCAAAGGATCATAACGGAAGACAGAAGCTGACTACAACATTTAGTCAAGAATTCAATCACAATGGATTGGAAAAGGATCTCCACGCCCCAAGAAAGCACATCAGTCTCGATCCAATGTCAAAGTAATGCTGACTGTTACTTTGAAAAAAATAAAATTCAGTTATTTTCTTAATAGACGTCTTATAGATTGAAAACATATATATTATTTTTAATCGTTTCTTTTGATAACCTAGTACTTAGCAATACTGTATTAAATAAAAACATTGCATTAGCACACTAAATAAAAGAAAAATAATAATTTCAAATTTTTAAAATATGTAATTACTAAAAAGTTTTAAAATACATCTCTAATTGTAAATAATAAATTGCATATACCGAGCACTAGTTATTCAAATTTAAGTTACAGGTGCGGAACAAATTATAAATTATTCAGAAGAAGTAGGAGTCTTTATACTTTTTTGATATGGAAGGTATGCGAATTGTATGCAGATTTTATTCCACACCTAAGAATAACAAAATATCATAAGCGCCTACGTTTCACAATGGCAAAAATGTCAACCGATTAGTATAGAATAAAATTTGGTATACTGACAAAACTGTTACCTACCTACCCACTTCTTAATTCTATATATATTAAGTGTCAACAATTTACCGCAATAATTACCAAGTAAAAATAATTCACATCTGTTTTTCTTTAATTTTTTTTATATTTACAAAAATAAAAGTAACAGAATGGCGAATGGCGTAAATGGCTTCATTCCTCCCAATTTGGAATCACTATAAAAGCTTTTCCTGTTTTCAGCTGAAAGGTATTATAAGGCTTTTTGCACACATCCAGTTCAGGACCGGATGAACCTATAGTGAGGCCAAGCTCTACGCAAGCCCTCTTTCTATAAAAAAAAACTTGCACTTTTTGGTTAAAAGCTAAAATTCATTTTGCTAGATCTTGAAGAGGCTCCCCGATCTCGCAAGGCCCGGCGCTTCGGGTATTGTCGTTCCATAATCTCTTAAATGTGTAACCTGCCACTTTTAATTATATGTGGACCTCAGGATACGGAGTTCAAATTCACAAATCTTGTTATAAATATATGAGTCCCTATTACAGTGGCGGCGTATACAAGAATTAAAGTGTATTTTAAAAAACTAATTAATTATAACTCAACTGCTTATTTGATTAAAAAAAAAATCAGATTCGTATTCAGGGGAACACGTACTATTACCCTTAAAAACTGATCCCCACTTAAAGTTACATTAAGTTACAATAAGTTTTCTAGTAATGACCTTACGCAGTGCAATTACATAATTAAACTGAGTGCAACTTTGTTGAAATGTATTTTAAAGTTTCTTGTTTAATGGGTCTTTAAAATAAAGTAAGAGAGCTAATTATAAAATACATATTTAAAAACACATACAATAAACTTAAGAATAATTGGACCAAAAATGGTTATTTTAATCCTTTTAATTATTTATTTTTATAATTATCCATATTTGAGTGAAATAAACAAACTTGTCACTTTTACATAGTCTAATCAAATATCTACTATCCTCTACAAAGAAAAATTGTGTGGTCGACAGACGTTTTCAAGTATTCTAAATAGTAATCCAATAGAAAAAAAGCCCTCTGGCGGTGAGCACAAAGTGTATATTACCAATATTTCACTTTATTATACTGTAGAACATTTCATGAAAGCTTATTTATTCAATCGCTTTATTTTGACCCCAGGATTGTTTCTTATTCTTAATGAAACATCCTATACATTTCCCACTTTCGCTGTGAAAACATGTCGATAGACAGAAGATCTGATTTTAAAACTATACGATATACAAAAAAAACTAAGCGTCTTAGATTTAACAAAAAATAATACAATGAAGAAGAATATTACACTTTGCTATTAAACTGTATTTCTGCAGAGGAAACAAACCTTTGATTCAAAACACTTTCACTGATCACTGAACTGGTTAACACTATAATTAAGGCTCAAGAGTTCATCAGACACTAAAATGGAATCGTAGTTTGTAAGTAAATATCAACAAGAATTCTGGTTTAATAAGCAAATTCCCAGATCAACCGGTGCAGTGGGTCAGAGTACCTGGTTTGCTCAGGTTTATACACTATTTAGACAGTTGTT